ATAGTACTGTCAATACATGAAGTTATTACTTTTAAGTTCAAATTTGGACTTAACGGAGAACATGATGTTATTACTCACTGTAATGTCCTAACAGCAAAGTCGATACATGAAAGGTCCATGGTGGGAAAGAAGAAGGACTGGCATCATCATTAAACTTTGAGAAGAAGAATCCCACAGATTATGTAGAGCGGATTGACAATGTAATTCGAAATGGCATAGATAAACAGACATTTACCTTCGTAACTGATCAATAATGTCCTTGAAAGGTGTGCTAAACATACTTTCGTTGTTGAAAAGGAATGTTGACATTATTTGGCAAGTGTCAACCTTTTGGTCGTGCGATCCTTTGTTTAATGCAAGTAGCATGGAAAAGAACCGTAGATGAGATTCATGCAGTAGTTAAATCCACTCTGTGTGACATTCAATATGGCCGGCGTGGAACCATGATATCCGGGGATGGCCCTAATGTTGCGAAATTCCGTTCGACTATCATTTACGCACGTTGTTGTATTTGGTTCTTGTGTCGTAGAGTCCAGTGTCTGATGTCATAATATATGTAGGGTCCAGTGTCTGATGTCATAATATATGTAGGGTCCAGTGTCTGATGTCATAATATATGTAGGGTCCAGTGTCTGATGTCATAATATATGTAGAGTCCAGTGTCTGATGTCATAATATATGTAGGGTCCAGTGTCTGATGTCATAATATATGTAGAGTCCAGTGTCTGATGTCATAATATATGTAGAGTCTAGTGTCTGATGTCATAATATATGTGTTGTGAACCCTCTGGTTCTCTAAAGTGTCAGGAACGAACGACCCCACACGGCACAAGGACAAACTATTTATTCTCAACAGTATATTTCACTTCCATCGACTAACAACAATGAATGACTGAATGAATGAATGAACAACTGAATAACTAACACTAAAACCACCAGGTAGTTATAGCATAAAAATGACAGCGTATATGAGAAAAGCATACACATACAACATACAACTACAGTGCACAGCAAACCGCACATAGCGCCTGTAGCGTATGCCACGTCGTAAACATCAGCGGTACGGCGGAGTCGGGATACAGCTGCATTGAAACGAACACAATGTCACAAGCATGAAGGCCTTTCACTCTCGAGAACTTGTCGTTTCACAACATTCTCCCCACCAAAGGGCTTCTCACCGCCGTACAACAACTCCTAAGTCAAAACGATCGGGGCTCTGACTTCACGCCCAGAACGAGTCATCCGCTGCTGTGGCGGTGGCCAAGGTGGAATATTACGAGTGCTCACCATTTCTGCCAACTGAGCAATGGTCTGCGGGTTTGCGCACTTCAGATGAAGCTCTAACGTTGGCTTCACCAGAGCACATACCGGAATGACTGCGGAGCTACCCAGGATCATGATGGCGAACTTGTCCATCCACTGTTGGCTTGATTCCGCACCGAACGGCTTCACTTCAACAGTCTCAACACCAAGCGTGCCGATCTGGGCTGTCACACACAACACAGTCACTGGGCCACTGCGTCGTGGGGCGGACGCTGGACCAGATAACCTACATTCGATCTCCGTGTTCTACACAGTCTCGCCGCTTACTTCTTCCGTGCTAACCAGTATCGCCCTTCTCATTTTCTCGGCTTCTACGCCTTGCGCTTCTAAGTCTCGCGCCTCTAACTCTTGCGCCTCTAACTCTTGCGCCTCTAACTCTTGCGCCTCTAACTCTTGCGCCTCTAACTCTTGCGCCTCTAACTCTTGCGCCTCTACGTCTTGCGCCTCTACGTCTTGCGTCTCTACGTCTTGCGCCTCTACGTCTTGCGCCTCTACGTCTTGCGCTTCTACGTCTTGCGCTTCTACGTCTTGCGCGTCTACGTCGTTCGGCCGAGACTCCAGCTGCTTCTGAGCGTCTCCGACCGATGTCGCCATGCACTGTACCGACGCAGTGGGCCTTGGATCCGATCCTCTCACTGGCTTCAAATACTCTTCTGACCGCTGCTTGTCTTTAAGCAAAGTCTTCCACGCCTTGTCCGGCGTCCTTCCGGAAAATCTCGCTTTTCTCCCTCATATTTACTGCTGGCAATGGGCTCGTTAATCTTCTTGAGCTTTTCGTTAAACTCTGTGCGGAGCGCACCCTCTTGCCGTCTAGCACTGCGCTCTTCAAACTCCTCGCTCTGTCGGAGCCTCTTCTCCACGTATTCTCGCAACCTATCGCCTTCAAATCCATACCGAATTCCGTTAGCGATAAAGCTGGCTTCAATGATCCATAGTTCCTGTGCCATGCTTGCTTCGTATCCTGGCGTGGTCGCCAAATGTTGTGAACCCTCTGGTTCTCTAAAGTGTCAGGAACGAACGACCCCACACGGCACAAGGACAAACTATTTATTCTCAACAGTATATTTCACTCAGCAGAATCATCCAGTCTGCTAGGTGGAGAATGCTTGGCCACATGCTTCGACTAGACACCTCATCCCCGGTCCAGCAGGCTATGTCAGCATACTTTCAACCAGGAAGCTCAGGGAACAACCCTCCCGCGATCTATCAACAACGACCTGAAAAATTCCAGATACAACAAACTCCCTCACATCACACGAGGATCTAGTTGCACTGAGGCAGCTTGCCCAGGATCGTCGAAAGTGGAAGGAACTAATGTGTGCTGTGTGTAGTGGCTGAAGTTATACAATTACACTAGATACTCTAACAATAATATCGGATACAATTACACTAGATACTCTAGATACTAGATACTCTAGATACTAGATACTCTAGATACTCTAACAATTTTATCACTAATTATGATAATAATTACCACATCAAATGCTGCAGAGACCTATCCAGAATCGGCAATATGCTGGCCCTGGCCTGGAGATCTGCAACTGCAATCGGTTTCTACTTTGCAATATTAACGGATTAGTCCCTTTGTCGATTGATGGATCAATCGGAACCAACGCATTCGTCACTCCGATTAGTAACTTCGGCTCTGCTCTGTTTTGTTTTGAACTGTATACGTATGTTTAACTCATTGTATTTCTTTGTATTCTGTATCTCGTTATCGTTATCTTTTCCTCTAGCCCTCTCGCTTAGGATGAGCTTTCTTTTTTATGGCAGCTTAAGCGAAGGCTATATACCTGCTTTATGCAGGTTGATGCCCACGCGAACAAGCAAAATAATAATAATAATAATATTTCACTTCCATCGACTAACAACAATGAATGATTGAATGAATGAATGAACAACTGAATAACTAACACTAAAACCACCAGGTAGTTATAGCATGAAAATGACTGCGTATATGAGAAAAGCATACACATACAACATACAACTACAGTGCACACAGCAAACCGCACATAGCGCCTGTAGCGTATGCCACGTCGTAAACATCAGCGGTACGGCGGAGTCGGGAACAGCTGCATTGAAACGAACACAATGTCACAAGCGAGAAGGCCTTTCACTCTCGAGAACTTGTCGTTTCACAACAATATGTGAAGTCCAGTGTCTGATGTCATAATATATGTAGGCTCCAGTGTCTGATGTAATAATATATGTAGAGTCCAGTGCCTGATGTCATAATATATGTAGAGTCCAGTGTCTGATGTCATAATATTATGTAGGCTCCAGTGGCTGATGTCATATATGGTCTAATCGTAAAAAGAAAAGACCTGTTTGGCATACAAGAATCCGTATGCAGACTTATGACTGTAAGCATGGCTCAGTGGAAGGTTGACCGTTGGAACGGCACCAACAACCTGAAATTGGCGGCCATTCAGCATGGGTATTTCGAGGGGACTCCACATTCCCACTGCTGTTCGTCACCTGCCTCATACGACTACTCCGTTCAGCTCTTAACGGCCACAACACCATCAGAGCAATCAACACCTGGGCTGTGGCTTTGATATGGTATAGTGCTGGTATATTGGCATGGACATAGGACGAGTTGAAATCTGCTGACCGAAGAACGCGCAAGCTTATGACTGTGCATAGAGCTCTCGATCCACGCGCTGATGTAGCCGGTATGTACATCAGTCGCAAGTCTCAAGAAGATCACAGAGAGCCTGATCATCGCGACACAACACCAGGCCTTGGCAACTGACCTGATCAAGGCCCAAATCTTCCATCAGAGCAGAAGACCCCTGTCTCGAATGTGTGGAAAGGAAGGCGAGTCGGTTACCCATATCCTATGCGAGTGTTCAAAGCTCGCTGGATGGGATTACTTGGAGCACCATTATCGGCTGGCCTCTGCGTGTACAGGAGTTGCGACTTGCATTGTGAAGACGAGTGCTACAACCACCACTGTGGCCGGTCCAAGAGCATCATGCACCCGCAGGTAACGTGCCTGAAGCTAGAGATACTTCAGACGCCAACATCTCCGCAGGACCAGAAGATCAAGATTCTGTGGGATTTCACCATCTGGTGGGATCGCTTCATTGAGCCCCGAAGGCTTGATATTGTTCTGATTGATTTGAAACAAACTCCCAGTAAAGTTCCATTTTTGTCTGATACAGAATGTTCCTGAACGCTGCATGGATTCACCTCGAACGTCCCGTTCTTTCTTCTTCAAAAACTACGGTGCCCACTTGCACTTCGAACTGTGCATGGCACTTTCAAGACCTGACCAGCCTAGCCTGCAAGATCTGCACTGGCAGGCGCGGGCTCCAAATGATCGAGCCGCACTGCAGAGTCGAACCGTGCTGTAAGCAGACCTGCAGTCTATGCTGTCGAACATTTTTTTGGCGGCAAAACCGCTTTTTGTCTTCTTTTCGAGCCATTCAGGGATTTTTATAGAAATCCAGGGATTCTGCATGTCTTGTCAAGGTATAGAGAATTTGGTGGTTGGCCAGTACCTAACCCAATTGCATATGAATCATGTTGTGGTTAGGAGCCTAGGTTATTTCTGAAAACAAGGTCATGATTCGGCCTTTTAGATTAGAACTACGATATCCCAGACTCGGTGTTTTGTGCACTACCCGGAACTATGCAAGAACAACATTGTCTTTGTGCTTTGTTTTTTGTAGATATTTGAACAATAATCAGATCCAGAATTTAAGTGACGGTGTGTTCTCTGGTCTACCAAACCTCCGACTACTGTAAGTATTCTCAAGAGAACAGTTGTATAACGGTGTGTATATAGAGTACTGCTGGATATGTGATGAACAAACCTCGATATACTTGATCTGCTGCACTGATTGAAGGAAACAGTTGTAGACGCTGTGTGTGAAATGCTTTGTTATGAAGCCTCTGATTCTCGTAAGTGTCAGAAACGAAAGAGCACACGGCACGAGGACAACTGCTTTTTCTTAACGGTATACTTCACTTGATCGAACATAATAACTCAGTCTAAGACGACCAGATATGTAAAGCATGCAAATGACAGCGTACATCGCACACAGCGCATATAGCGTATAGCATGCATGATGCATCAGCGATATGGCGGAGTCGAAATACTTGGAGAAGTGTTGGAGCTAGGTGTCAGGTCTCCGAATGTTCCAGTACTCCTTGTCAGTTTTGTGCAATTTTGTCGCAATCGCTGACCTTATAAGATCTGGTTACGTTGATGGACAGTTAGTCAAAATTCGTAACATTTTTTCCTTCTCCTTTTTCACCATAGTGTAATAGGCTCACCATCCGAGTTGAATTCTTCCTTATTCTTTTCTTTTCTTGGCATGGTTGGCTATCACCCCTCTCTCGCACTTTGCCTGCCAATAGACCGATCCCCTTATTATACTGGGTTCGAGCACGGGGGCAACCTCACTCGCGGTGGAGCTAGTTTTTGAACGTGACAGCATCTTTGACAGTGTGTTTCAGGTTTGTTTTGGAATGTCTTCTGCTTAGTTCAAATGGTTTGCGATGGCTTCGAGCGGTGCTGAACCTCCTTCTGGTAGGAGCAGAGTCTCCGAGAGAGACATGGACTGTGATGCAGCTGCAGGATTTTTTCAAGGCGCGGGAGAGAACGATCTCGGGCCACAAACAGGAGTTACTCCAGAGGTGAGTTTTTTTGTTGTTGAAATATTCGAATCGCGAATCGTGTTGTGAGACTTATATTGTGCCTAGGCTACAGCAGACCGTATTTCTTTCTCCTTGAGATCGGTGCTGAAGATAATAGTAACCTTTTTCTGGTCTGCCTTTTCCTCTCCAGAGCCATCTTCTATGAAGGTAACCGTGGTGCTGCCAAGTCACCAAGTCGCGATCGCGATCAGCAGCCCTGAAGTGGAAAAATCGATTTTCCAACGATCTGGTTGGACATCAGCCACTAAAGTACTTCTGATTTGCCTGTAGTGACAACAGCAGCCATCCTTGGACACCTTGTAAAGACAGGAAAAGCCACTGGTGAAAGCGACTGCTATGAGGTGACGATAGCAGTGGTGATCGCTGTTTTGTCAAGTCGAAGGGCTAGCCAACCCAGAGGAAGCATTAAAAAACGATGAGCAGTGCGTGGTATTTGTTGAGCGTGAAGAGCTAGAGGAGGACAGTGCAAACACATGGAAGGAGTTGATGGTGTTTGAAGAACAGTGTGCTGTGTGCCGGCTGGTGGTGATGGTGGTCTTTGTCAGCATGTATTCGTGCTGCTTCTTGTGCTGGAACACTTCTCGCCCAGGAAGGCAGATTGCGTGCTCCCTGGCCCTCAGTCGGCAATGGGGCGTTTTTTCCAGGAACATTACCCCAGAGCCAGTGATGAGTCGTACCTTTGAAAGGTCGAAGCTTGCTGTTAATCGCAAGTGTAGCGCAGTGGATTGCTCCCTCTTCGAAGTACGAGGGCCAAAGCTTGCCGCTGTCTGCAGCAAAGTGTGTGTGCGGTTCTTTTGAACCTATGAGTTGTCCTCTTCCCCTGATTATTAGTAGGGCTGTGTTTTTTAGTAAAAAAAAAAAAAATGAATATACCCCCCCCCCCCTCTCTCTCTCTCTTAGGAAGACTGCATGTTCAAAGTGAACTATTTTCTAGTATATTTAATGTTAGACGAGCTGTTTCCGCCCAAGATCAAGATACAGGTCCTCCCTCGTTAGTAGATAATCTCTGGGCCATCAAAAAAGTTATCTTATAACGAGACTTATCTTGTAGCAGGACTTGCAGCTAAAGGTGAAATAGGCACTACTTCGTACTTACCGGGGCTACCCTCGATACAACATAAATTATCGTTGCTTCAACTCGTTATAAGATAATTGAAAATCTCCAACATAACTCTTCCTTGGATGCAAAGGATCGTCCATATTCACGAATACATAGATATAATTATTACGTTTTGTCTTTCTACTTTATCCTACGTGTTTTGGCTTTGGTCCTGCATGGTCAGTATTATCTTATACTGAGGGTTTGGCACTCCAGGGACCTGGGCAAAGGGTCGTTATAACGAATTTTATGTACTAACGGATTATGTTGTAACCGGACCTGTAAACAGTTGTATAGACCACGTTTCGCCAGGGGATTTCAGATTTCTATTTACTAACGGGGTTTATGTACTAACCGGACTCGTTATAATGAGGGAGGACCTGTAGTTTTTTTCTGTTTCTATACCTTCCTAATAAAATACATTGTGACCGAGCTTTCGGTCATACTCCGCTGTACTCCATCCTCAACCCGCCACGACCATGCGCTCTTGGCCGAACTAATGCACGAAGCATAAACACACCAGCACAGCAAGGACACTTCCGTTGACAGATATTGTTTATGCCTCTAGACAGCTGTTTCGTTTCTTCGAGCTCATCATTAAAGGAGGATAGTAGCAGGATATTAATGATGATATAATATAAGATGAAAGACGGTTTATGGTCCAATATTGAGGATTGGAGATCTAAGAAAGCAATGACAGTGATTGCGAAATGGATAAAATCGGTTGTGGCAACAAACGCGATTAGGCCGGCTGCAGGGACGCCGTAATGTCGCACTTGCCCCAGCACCATTCAAACAATTCCCTTTGGCAGTTCACGGCACGAACTTCAACAAAGCCCCGTGAATGCGTACCAGGGGAAGGCTAGACAGCATGTCTCTAGACATCAATAGGCATCGTATGAAAAGCCAGTCAATAGCACTAAAGAGCGAAAGCCTTTGTCACGGTTCGGTTTCACTCGCGCACCGGGCCCGAGCTGGCAGCACAGACAAACGCCGGACGCGAGCTGGCAGCACAAACAAACGCCGTACTCACACGAGCGTTGGGCGAACGGATGGCCACAGCCATCAAAAACAGGAACAAACCCATCCACGGCTCTTTCTCTTGCTAGCTGTGCTGCTGCGTGCATCCAACTGTTTTGCAATTTCTGCGCTCCGAGCCAGGAAAACGCAGGACAAGACGAGGGCTGATAGTAAAAGCCCAGCGAGTGCAGATGCGATGCACGGACGATGAGAGCTATTTCGATGTCGAAAAAGAAATGAACGAGCTCGAAAGATCATAATGAGAGAGCGGAAGGCGGAAGGGACGATCACAGATCTAGCTGGTTTATACGAAGCAGAGAGCTGCTCAGCAATGCGAGAGAGAAGGATAAGATGATTAGTGAGCTGGAAGTAAGTACTCCAGAGGCAATTTGACGAAGCGACGGACTTGGCGTTTGAAATTGTACAAACAACTCACCGCGTGCCAGTCGCCTCAGCTGAAACGCAGCAGCATACCGGTAATTTGCATCAACAGTGCCGCGATGAAGCCAGGGAAGTCGGCGGCTGGTGGCCAGGACATGTTTACAGCAATGAACCGTCCGCAGGACCACGGCTTGGGTTTGAATCACAGCCGGGGTTGCTGGCCAGATCGCTACAACAACGAGACGTGAACAAGTCCGCCAGCGGAGATGCAACAAATGCAACTGACCAACAACTACGTTTTGACACGGATGACCGCACAGTAGTAACAGGGCATTCAATTATTTCAACAGCTACTGGTACACATGGTACTGGTGGTACCATCCCAGACTACAGAGGTCACCAGCGCAGCGCTGTCCAGTCCAACATTGGCCAGTATACAGATGGTTCCGCAACAGTGACCATGACAAGTGCCACTACAAGTAAGTGTCAATGATGGTGTTAGTGTTCTTGCTAGGCCTGCTACTGCAAACACAACTACCTCAGGCAGTACATCTCGTAGTAGTTCTAAGGTTACTGGTCCTACATTACCCTTGGGCAGTACTGGCAGCAGCAATGTTCTTCCAAGCAATTCTGTATACTCAACCAGTATGCATAGTGTGAATACTGCAGTGAATACTAAGTACAGTGTTGGTACACAGGCTAATCCACACTCTTTCAGAAAGCCTCCAGTGTCAATGGCAGCGCCCCAGTCATGTATCCAGTGGCAGGCACCGCCTATGAGCACAATGTCAATGGCTTCTACAGGTACTAATGTATATGGGCATACCGACCAACCACAGATGTCTTCCGGGTACATGTAACAGCCAAGGGTTATGCAACACCATCCAATATTGGAAATCAAATGTATGCAACAGGGCTACCTCAAATGCAACAAAACCAGGCTCGTGCAGAGCCATGGAAGCAGCTACAACGAGTTGGCATACCGATATTCAGCGGTGACAAACGTACGTTTGAGTCATTCCGAGAAGCTTTCATGGCATGTGTAGATAGTGCACCCGCCACCCCTCAGTACAAGCTGTTGCAATTGAGGCAGTATTTGGCAGGAGAAGCACTGACAGCCATCGAGCGATTTGGCTACTCACCATCAGCCTATGACGTAGCTAAGAAGTTGCTAGAGCGCAAGTATGGCGGTGAGCGTCGCCGTGTGGCTTTACATATTGAACGCGCACAGCCACTGGACCACATCGATGGGTCTGCAACCAGTGGTACCTCCACGTGCACAGCCAACACTCCCAACAGTAGCAGCAGCAACAGCAGCACAGCGGGCTGGTCGAGTCTCTGTTGATGTTGTGGTGCCTGAGCGCCACATGCGCGACAGCCTGGAAACGACTGCACCAATTCTGCAAACTAGTCGGCACCAAGGTGATTACAGACACCATCATGCTGGCATTTGTAGCCTACCTGGCACGTCAACATGCCGCGTCAACCGTCCGCTTGTACGTGTCGGCGATCCGGGCAATTGCCAAAGAAAACGGCAAAGATCTCTCTTCGCGAAGAGTGGACCTCGCAGTTAAAGGAGTG